AACTGAGGATGATACAATTGCTGGTTTAATTAATTTGCCCTTTAGTTTTCTAGCCTACAGAAAGTTAGCTAAGTAAATGGTCAATTTTCCATCAAGAGGAAAAGAAAGCAGGCACAAAGTCACCAATGTCTCTGTGGCGAATAGTGCTAGATCTACAGACGCAAAACTAAAAAAGTATTTCCTTTCACAGAGTACTTTGAATCTCCAGTACTCCAATCCTTAAAATGTAAGTCAGGGACTCCAAATGAAGGAGTAAGGCTTTGCTCAGAAATATCTAATTAAATAGGGGGGGAAAGCAGACAAAAGCACATTGATTTTTTTTTCTACCTTTATTTATAAAGAGCACAAGTCCTCCTCCTGACACAGACACAAAACACTCACACATCCAAGGAGGAGATCATTAAAAACAACAACAGAACTAGGGGACCGTGGGACCTTATTTCACATCAGTCTGTGTGCCCGACCCGGGGAACGCTGGGAATGTTTCCTCAGATATGACATCTCACCTCACGGAAGGGAAGAGTGACCTTGATCTGTAGGCCCACCCACCTGCCAGGCAAAAAGCTGCACTCAGTCTTCAGCATCATCAAACTGTCCCGTTTCAAAGACCATCTTGGAATAATGGGGTATCAGTGGAGGTGGGTGGTGCCAACTGGGGTCATAGATCATATCTCCTTGCGGGGTACAGCACACCCACGGTTTGACCTCTTGAGAAATGCAACCCTGGATGTCGTCAGCATCTGCGGGCAGTTTTAAAAGACAGATTAAAGGAAGGAGGGAAGGCGGAAACAAATAAATTTGAGTTTTCAAAATTAAAAAATATATAGCATTAATAAAACTTTAAGAGACACATGTCAAGATTAGAATTATCTCTTAATTATTTTTGATTGCAGGGCAGTATTTCTTTCTACAAGTTACTATTTAAAAACTAGGTCCTGGGGTGACCGGTTAGCTCAGTTGGTTAGAGTGTGGTGCTGATAAGGATTGCCAGTTCGATCCCCGCATGGGCCCTCCTTAAAAAAAAACAATAAAATTAATAATGATAATAAAAGCTAGGTCTTAAGACTTAGTTGTAGCCAGTTGATTTTAAAGAGTAGGTTAGTAATATAAAGTGTGCAAAAAGGGGAGTCAGAGAGTAAAAATTTGTTAGTATGTGCCCAGTACAGCTAGGAGCTTTTTGAGAAGAAGTTGGAGAGAGAGGAAGGCTTCGCTGACCAGATGACCAAAATATTCTGGACTGAATCTATGTTTACCAAACAACTCTCTGGTTACAACTTGATATTCCAGCTGTTGCTATTTTCTCAGCTATTATATTCATATTGCAAATAAATAAATTAGCAAGTTGCTTTGTTTCTTGTCTTATTAGCATAAGGAATCTGTATCCCTGAATCTACTCACCTCTGGATATACTTCAAAAGTCAATTCTAGACATGTGATGCTGCAAAGATTAAAAAACCAAACCAAACACCCAACTGTGTAAAATCCTGTCTGATGGCCTGCTGGCTTCTATCATTGCCACCTCCAGATCAACCTTCCTGTGTATTCAGTCTTCCTCTGTGTTATCAACCAGAATATTTACTCTTCAGGAATTTATGCTCTGAAGTTAAAACAATGTTTCCGAAAATTTCAAGCCTGGGGGACATAGTTTCACAAGATTTCCTTCAGTTTTCTTCATATTATTTTTTTGTGTAGTGTGGCTATATTAGATACATCAGTTAGTAGATCAAGAAAATTAAGTTGAATGAGATTAAGATGAGTGTGTTGGCGTTATAAAGGTTTTCCTTTTAATTTTTTAAAAATTTCATGTAAAGCCCTCCAGGGTAGAATCAATTCTGTTCAATTAGCTTTAGAGAACATACTATGTTCAAGAACATTTAATAAATCCTTTTTTTTTTTTTTTTACTCACTCAGTCTGTGCTTAAGCCTTCATTTTCCCTTGAACCATTTGCATGTCTTTCCCTCTGTTTTCACTGTCTAACCTCTGTAAAGGCCAACACCCTAATTCAAGCCTCAATCATTATGCCTGGACTAATGCCATACGGTTTTTCTTTATTTACCCCCTCCATCTATCCTATGTATAGTTATTTCACTGGATAAATATTTCAGAATGTACTGTATACCAACCCCTACTTTATCTTAAGACAGACCCAAGTCCCACACTTCTTTATCCTTTATCTTCCAAAAACATTGTTTTGCAAATGTCACTGCATTTGCAAAAACCTTTAATGCATATTCATAAAAGGGAAACCTTCTTAACCTGATCATCATGGCCCTTACTCTTCAGTTCATCTCTGCAATATATTATTCAGTCCTACCTCTTGAGTCAGAGTAGTCTGTTCCTTCTTTCTTACTTAAACAGGCCACTTATATTCCTATCTCCAAGTCCTTATACCCTACCCCATTTCGTTTTGTCCTAGCTGGGGTTCCTTTCTCACTGCTTTTTGTTTAGTTAGTAATACCTGGATTCACTTAACAGATATTTGTTGAGTACAGTTATCTTCTCTTATCTGCAGGAAATACATCCCCAAACTCCCAGTGGACATCTGAAACCGCAGGTAGGACTGAACCCTACAGATAAATACTATATTTTTTCCTGTTTGTACATAGCATCTCATTTAAAGGAAGCACTTCTCTTTGGTATATCCAAAAGACCAGAATGACTACTTTTGAGCTTTGGGGTTATTATTAAATCAAACAAGAGTTATTTAACCACAAGCACTGCAACAGTTAATCTGATAATTGAGATGGCTACTAAGTTACTAATGGACACACTAGACAAAGGGATGATTCACATCCCAGGTGGGATGGGATGGGACAGAGTAAGAAGGTGTAAGATTTCTTCACAGTACTCAGAATGGCATGCAATTTAAAATGTATTAATTATTTATTTCTGGAATTGTCCATTTAACATTTTCGGACTGAGGGTGATTGAGGGTAACTGAAACCCCAGAACATGAAACTGTGGATAAGGGGTGTTTATAAGAGAGTTAAATCCTTAACTACCATAACAGGGCATGAATTAATACTGTTTTAAATTGTTAAATCAAGAAATAGCTGTATTATGGTAGTATTTAAAAAATAAGAAGGTATTTATAGTTTTGTAATGTTCTGACATTTTCAACCAAATATAGGCATTACTTTGATAAATAAAAGAATAAAAGTTAATAATTTTGAAAGGTAGGGAGTTAGCCAGATGGGGAAGATAGTAAAAAATGACATGGACACACTGTAAATGCTAAATTACTATACAAATGTGAGAGCTCGTTTCATTCAAAATTGATGAATGCCACGAGCTCCTAAATAAGGTTTATGAAAAAATATTAACTAATTGTCTAAAAATAAACTTAGTACAAATGCTTAATGATCCAATGTGGTTTAATGCTTGGTGATTTGGAAGGATAAAACGTGCTAGAGACACATACCCTATAACCCAGCAATTCCACATCTAGGTGTATATCCTTGAGAAACATTACACGTGTTCAAGGAGACATGGACAAGAATGCTCATTGAGTCATTAAATAACAAAATTGGAGACAACCTAAATATTCCTCATTAAGGAAATTGATAAATCAAATCTGCATAATTGGACGGAATGCTCAGAAATGAAAGGGAATGAATCAGATCTACATGTATCATGGATTACCTCTTGAAAACAATGATGAATGGGAAAAAAAAACAAATTGCTGAGTGACATTTACAGTGCTGCCTTTGATGTAAATAAAACTAAAGATTTTTCTATGCATACATATACGAAGTGGGACAATTAAGTTCGTGAACTCATCCTAGAAAAAGTGCTACATACCTCATTGCTGAATATCACTACGGTCACCTTCGAAGTACTCCCCTTGGAAGGCTATTGACTGATGCCAGCGCCTCGTTCACCCGTCAAGGCAATTTTGGAACTCCTGGAGTGGCCATCAGAGCTGTTGTCTATTACCCTTGATGTTCTGAATGTCATCAAAATGTCTTCCTTTCAATATTTCCTTTATCTTTGGGTAAAGAAAAAAGTCATTGGGGGCGAGATCAGGTGAGTAGGAAGGGTATTCCAATACAGTTATTTGTTTACTGGCTAAAAACTCCCTCACAGACAGTGCTTGTGCGAGCTGGTGCGTTGTTCGTGATGCTTGCTTGCATTAAGAGCCATGAATTGTTGGTGAAAAGTTCAGATCGTCTACCCTTTTCATGCAGCCTTTTCAGCTCTTCCAAATAGTAAACTTGGTCAACTATTTGTCCAGTTGGTATAAATTCATAATGAATAATCCCTCTGATATCAAAAAAGGTTAGCAACAACGTTGCTACAAGTTCACGAACTTAATTGTCGAACGGGTATGTATGTAAAAGTACAAAAAGGGCTGCAATGCTATCCACCAAATAGGTTACATTGGCTACCACTGGGGCTAAGGGGAAGAGACTGAGTTTGGGGGTGGAAGTCAAGGAGACTTTCCTGTTTTCTCCGTAATTTTGTCATTTACTTCTCCCCCTCCCCTCTCCCCTCTCCCTCCTCCTCCCCCTCTTCTTCCTCATCTTTCTCCCTGGGCAGTGTTCTTACACGACATGAGTTATTTAAAAAACAAACCAAAACAACAAAACAGTATACTCCTATACTTAGTGCAGTCTCCTTTCCTGAAAAACCTTACACAGGGCTAATAATTTTCAAAATAAAAGTAATTACCACTGATTTCATTGGAGAAATTTGTACCCTCTGTGTTGTCAAGAGAAAAGCAAATACCATCAAGATGCACACAATTACATCAATAGTTAGTATCAGTTTGCATAGCCCGATTTAACGAGGTGGCTTCCCATTATGATTTGATGTGTCCTGTTGCCTGTCTTGTTTCAGCTCTTACATACCGTGCGTTTAAAACTATGTACTCAGATAAAATAAACATACTCTATGCTTATGTAACTGCAACTTTAATGTTAAAAAAAGGTAAAAGAGAAACAAATCTATGAAAACAATGCAATTGATGTATGAGATAATCATCACTACAAACCAGCAAACTACTGGCACACTGCAGCTGAGGCGATGATCTTGGGCTCTTAGCTGCTCGCGAGGACGCAGTCCATGGGAAGAGATACCTCCTTAGCTCAATTAAGACTAAAAAGCCGAAATGTCGGACCCCGAATGGACGTCTCTGGAGGTAGGACACTTGCCAAAATAACATTTTATTCCGAGTGGAAGGAATGTAATCAATTGTTATTTCGTTCTGTATTTTTCAAATTTCCACTTTTAAATAGGGTCCAGACTGAGGCATCAAAAGTCTAGGGTTTTAATTTTGTCACTAACGGACATTATAGTCAAATCACGCCCTCTTCCGTGACACTGGGCGTGAGACATTCGAACCCTCCAAATCCCCGCTAATTTTACGGTGCGACAATTCCGCTTCCTGCAGTTTCGCCAAAGATGTATTTTGGCCCTCTCAGCTCACCGTCCGCGCAGCCTCCAGTGATAAATGTAAGCCCCGCCCCCTGCGCTCCGGACGGCGCGAAAACCCAATTGACAAGAACTCCCGCCGAAGCCCGCGGGTCCGGTCTGCGTTCCGCCTGCTTTCCCCGTCGGGGTCCCAGTCCCGAGCGCTCAGCCTGACGTGCTGGACTCCGGGGCACCCTACACTCACCGGTCACGCCGAGGATTCCCGCTGCCCGCGCTTTTTCACCGCTTCTTCCCGCGTTCGACTCGGCTGAGCTGGGCCCAATCTCCGTGACCGCTCCCCGCGGGTGGGCGCGGGGGAGTCCGAGACGGATCCCACTGCCCCGTTCCCCGCTCCTGCTGGAGCCGGGCACCTCCATGGCCGCCAGCCATGCCAGGCCGGGCCGTAAAAGGTCCTAGGAGCCGGGATTCCGGGAAGCAGGGAGCATGGTGGGGGTCCTTGCCATGGCGGCGGCAGCTGCTCCCTCTCCGGTGAAGGACTACGAGATTGAGGTGAGCTTGAGCATCTCCCTCCGTCTGTTGGGGGGCGGGGGTGTGTGTGTGAAAGGTGATACCGACTTTGCATCTATGAGAGGAAAAGAGGGACATGGTGAGACCCCACAGTTGTGACATTGTGTGGAACAATTGCTGGCGTGTGTCTTTTCTTAAAAGTCGTGATAGGTCCTGACAGACATTGGGATTGTGAGATGTTTGCGGGACCAGGCAAGGTAGGACTTAAGATCACTTCGACCAGTTTCCAGATCCTGAAATACTGGTGAAACCTGTCGTTTTGGACTGGTGACATGTCATGGAAAATCCCAGGGTTAAGTCTCGGTTCGTGATATAGGATCATAGAACTTGAGCGTTGAAAAGGATCTTTAAGTTCAACTATTCCATCCATTTACCTGTTCTAGGAATGCCATTTAGAATGTCACTACAAGAACCAGACAAGGGACTTAAAAAAAAAATCGGTTTCTTGTGGCTCAAGAGCTTAATATACAGCAGCTAGGAGTCCCAGCATGGCTTATTGTTATTCTCATGTGTTCATCAGTGAAATGCACTGAGCTGTCATTATAAAGAGGTTGTAATGTCTTGAAGAAGTGAAGTAGCATTCTATAGGAGATGGTTGCTATATATNTTTAGAGGGCAGTGTCACTGGCCCTCCTATGTGGGATCCGAACCGGGGCCCTCTGGCATCCCAAGCCAGCTCCCAACCAACGCACCACTCGGCCGGCCCCAAGTTGCTGTATTTTTATACCTTTTAATCTCACGCTGGCATTCTAACTGAATTATGCATACTGGTGTCCGTGTAATGAGCCAAGATGTATGTTCACTTATTTAACTGGGGCTCTTTCTTATTTTTTAGAATCAAGTAACTTTTGTCTTGATTAGCAGGTAACTTGCTAATGGTTGTTATGCTGACACTTGTTTGTTAAATCTATGCAGTCATTCAGCTTGTCTCAGGTGTGTGAAGAAGGGCTTTTGGTGCTTGAATTACATATACAGTTCTTGATTTTTGTGTGGTCAGTTTTAGCCATCTTTTCATTACAGTTTTCTGCTTTTGGTGCCTTGCTTAGCCTATTTCATAATAATGGTATTTACTATTTAGTATTTTAAAGGTCAGGGTATTATACGCATTATTTTACTTAATATTAACACTGTGATGAGGTATTATCTGTATTCTACAGATGAGAGGTTAAAAAGTAATGAAAAGTAACTTAAGTTAGAAAAAGTATATTTAAAAACTTGAAAGTAATTTGCTTAAGGTCCTGCTATAGTGGATGTCAGAGCCAGCACTTGAACTTAGATCTGCCTGACTCCAGATCCTATGGTATTGTGCCTCTGATACCATTTCAGGGTAATATAATGATAATACTAACAACTTATTAGCATTTTCTTCTAGTACATTTGCCATTTAATTTTAACATAAAATTTTAATGTGTCTATAATTTATTTTGCCTCATACTTATTCACATGATAGAGGTATAATGATCCCATTCATTACTACTTATCTTTTTAAAAATGTCTTTGTTATTCTGGCAAATTTATTCTAACAAATGAGAGAAGTTAAAGACTGACAGCTTTTTGTAACCAATAAACTTTTTATATTATGTAAGTTACTAATTTATGACCAACAAAAATAGAACTTTTTACCATTATAGTCACCTTGATATGGTATGGGTAATAAATAATGTAGGAGGCAGGCAGTAACTGTTTTAATAGCAAAACACTGGAAAATTTTATTTATTTGTCGTAAGTGTCCTTCACCATAATTTTTACTTGATTAGTAAATTTTGGGATCCTAAGCTTGTTCACTATATACCTGATTCTTAGAAACAGAAAATTTGTTTATTTTTAACTAAAAAAGTGAAAAGGGAATGGAATTAATATTTGTAGAGTCCTTACTATGCATCAAACTTAACATACATTTATGTAATGTGTTCATTACAAATTTTGTGAGGTGGTTAGTAGTATTCCAAGGTTATAGAATAAACAGAGGCCAACAGAAATTAACACATTTGTACGTAAGTATAGTGGCCTTGAAACTTTATTGAATTATAACATAGTAAAGTGTACAAATTATAAGTGTATAACATGATGTAACGTTGCAATTTGAATGCAGGTTTAACTTTAAAGCTCTTTTTCTTTCTGATATATCATGTTTGTAGCTGAAGGGCACCTTCCTTGTTTATCCAATTGCGTAGAATAGTAGATCCATGTTTAAAATGTATGTTTTGTACTATTTTGCTTGAAATAAGTGCTTTTTTTCCCTTCTTTTAAATCAATAGGCATGCAAAAAGCGAAGGAAAGATGATGACAGATCTTCCTGCGAAACAATTACAAAATATTTATCACCAATAGGGAAGACTGCAGACAGGGTTTTATCTCCACCCAAATCCAGTAATATTTTGGATTATTTTAGAAAGACTTCACTCACTAATAAGAAGACTCAGTCAGCAAAAAAGTGCAAGATAAAGTCACTTGCACCGTTGCCTGCTGACAGTAGCAAAGACTGTAAAATACCTTTGGAAATTGTCTCAAATATAGAGTTTAAGAAGAGAGGAAGGAGAGTTAATTTATCTTATCAACTAAATAATTTTAAAATTGAAAATGAATCTCCAATTCAAATTAGTAGTGATGATAGCAAAGAAGACTGTAGTTTAAATAATGACTTTGTGGAAAATAGTACTTCTGTTTCACTCTGCAAGAAACATGTAGAAGTACTTGCAGAAAGTATTCAAGATATCAAAAACCAGTCAAGCACTATGACTTCCAGAAAAAGTTCCAAGAAAGTAAATCCTAAACAAGGGACCACAAAAAATGATTGTAAAAAATTGAGAAAAAGGAAGCGCCGAGATGTAATAGATTTATGTGAAAGTTTACCCTTGGCAGAGGAGCTAAATCTCCTTACAAAGGATGTTAAAGACAGTAAACAGATAATACCTTCCCCAATTAATGAAATTGAGAGTACCGCAAATGATGCAAGCTCTAGAGATAATATAACTCAAACAGCCCAGTTAAATGATGGTACAATAACTGTCCCGTATGAGGAATTTTTAAAAAGCCACAAGGAAAATAAACTGGAACAGATACCAGACTCTACAATGTCAATGTGCATTCCTTTTGAAACTGTCAGAAGTGGTTGTATAAGTGACGCAGAAACCTGTGAAATTTCCCAACAAGTACTGTTTAAGACAGTTACTGTTCTTGCACAAGTTCACCCTATTCCCCCCAAAAAGACAGGGAGAATACCCTCAATTTTCTTGAAACAAAAGCAGTTGGAAATGGAAAGTAGTCTGTCTGATCCTGAGAGTGAGACGACAGTTCAGAAAAGAAAATCGAACGTTGTTATACAGGAGGAAGAATTAGAATTGGCAGTGTTGGAAGCTGGCAATTCTGAAGCTGTGAAACCAAAATGCACTCTAGAAGAACGGCAGCAGTTTATGAAAGCTTTTAGGCAGCCAGTATCAGATGCACTTAAAAATGGAGTCAAAAAGCCTGATAAGCAGAAAGAGCTCAATGAAAAATCTTTAAATGAGGGAGGAAGAGACAATAATTCAAAAAAAATCATGGAAAATCCTAATATTCAAATGGTTTCAAATAATGGCAATTCACAGTCACACATGGATACAGGAAGTTTTCCTAAGGAGAAAAGTAAAAACCTAAAGAAAAAGGATAAAATGTTAGGTACCGGTACTACTCCCAGTGAAACTAGAGAGGAAAATACTCAAAAGAAAAACACTTTTTCCTTTAAAGATAAACAAAATAAAAATAGGCTTAGAATGAATTTAAGACCAAAAAATCCAGAAGTTTTCAAAAACAGTCCATTATGTAACAGCGAAAGTCAGCTTTGTGAAGATAGAGCAAATGATGACCCTCTAAAGATTTTTTCCTCTTTGTGTAACAATGAGCGTTCAAGAAAAACGAGCACACCAGTTAAGGATAAGGTTTTACATTATAAAGCTGACACTGAAGACAGCTTGGTAAATGTTTTCACACCCAAATCAACCAGAAGATCTGCAAGAAGTAGCAGCACACCTACTACAATAATCACTAGAAGTACAGATTCGGGAAATGCACCAGATGGTAGTCCAGTGAAAGTTTCCACCCCAAAAGCAGCCAACTTAGCAGAAAAGCATAGCTTATATACAGCAGAATTAATAACAGTGTCCTCTGATTCAGAGAGCCCTATCAGGTAAGGTGAAGTTTTATTTCTGTTCTAAAATTCTAAGTATTCTGCACATACTGTTACCTGGGAAGGAAAATACTTCAAGCATTAGAGAGGTTTTTTTTTTTCCCCTGGAACACAGCTGATTTATAAGAAAAAGAAAATGGTTTCAAACATGCTGCTAATTTTCCACATTTAGTTTAAAGTCAGGCATGACTTCAGAAGAATTCTAGATGTATTTTAGATGAGTTCTAAACTTTTACTCATCATGGTTGCTAATCCCTGGAGAAGTATCCTTCAAATATGAATTCTGTGAGTTTAACAAACATGAGATTAAAAATAAATCATAGAACTTTATTTCTTGGGTAAACTGGGCCATACACTATTGAGTATGTATATAATATACTTGCATGCTGGTTTTGGCTAATGTAAGAGTGATCTTAGGGGCTAATTTTCTGTAAAGCTTATGACTTCTAAAATAAACAATTTATATTTTCTAGGAGTTTGACATTGAGTTTGGCTTACTTTTGAATCAGTAGTTTGAAAGTAATGGAGTGTTTTTTTGTTGCTTTTTTGTTTTAGAACTGTCCAGAAATTGGAGCCTTAGTTGGTTCTTTTCTGTATTTAATTGAAATTCTTGCACTTTATAATCATGAAAGTGTTTCTGAATCTTTTTTTTTAGAATGAAATTCACCAGAATTAGTACTCCCAAAAAATCTAAGAAGAAATCTAAAAAAAGATCCAAGAAATCTGAAGCAACTGATGGAGATTTTGTCTCTCAAACTAGAAAGGTAATTGAAACATTAGAGTCCTATAAGTGGTATACTATTTCCTAAGAAACAATAACTACTACTATTGAAAGTACTACACTATAAGGAGATTCACTTGGTTCATAGATTGGTTATGTTAACTACAACCCTGTATTACTTTTCACTATTATTCTATTCCTCTAGTTCATTTATTAAGATATCTTATCGTGAGATGATAGCAATTGATGAATACAGAGTATAATTTACTTAGAAAAAGTTTTGTTATTGACAGTTACATGCCAGTTTTCCGTAAGGCTGCTTATAGGTCATGATTGAACATTTGGTTTATTTCTGTGGATTAGGGGCCTGTCAACCCTGGTACTGTTGACATTTTCGGCTGGATAATTCTTTGTTGTGGGGGACGACCATAGGCATTATAGGATGTTTAGCAGTAACCCTTGCCGTTACCCATAAGATGCCAGTAGTGCCCCAACTCTTCTCTTTATGACAATCAAAAATGTCTCTCTAGACATTGTCATGTATTCCCTGGAGGGGGAAAAAAAAGTCACCCTCAGTTGAAAACCATTGCTCTAAAGGGGGAAATAGGATATATAAGAATAGTTTAGCAGCTTTTGAAAAATAAGCTGTTTGTCCCTATAGAGAATTGGATTTTTTCCAGGGTGAGTAGGTATAGGATGTGCGTTTTGAAAAAGCCACCAGGGCGATTCTGATATAATCCTTGGGTGAAAATTGCTACAGAAGGTTGGTATCTCTTGTTTTACTTAACAGTTGCTATTTTTTGACCTCTTATCACATTCCAGGCACTGTGCTTAGTACTGATATAATTAATGTCATAAAGTAATAATTTAATTCTGTTTTATAGTTGAAGAAACTTGCAGTTCATGGGATCAGGAAACATGCAGTTTATATGTGACTCTGGGAAGTGAGTTTCCTAGAGCCATACAACTATAAGTAGTTAGAATGATGGTTCTTAGCCTATTGGGAGGTACTCTAGAATGCAGCTGATTATACCACACCTAAAGGTTGAAAGTCTCTGGGGTGAATTCTATCCCATATAATTTATGCTACCTAAATTAATTCTAGAGCATAACTTCAACTTTTATTTTAGAAATACCATGCTTGGGTTTGCACCACATACTACTAAGAATTGTGATTCATTGATACATTGTTTAGCAAGACATCTCCAAATTTATTGTATCCAAATTGGGGCCCTTATCTGAATTTACTTAGATCAGTTATTTTATCTCATACTGGTAATCTGCCAATGAACCTCTTACCACAGGGCCTTGATAAGGCTTGTTTACTAGCTCTAGGAGAAAATCTTAGTCATTTTATGGGAGAGATTTTCCATGTTTTTATGAGAATGAGGGTAAACTTTTTTCTAACAGCCCCATATTCCTAACAGCTCTTTTAATAGATATTACAGAATGGCTTTCAGAATGACTCTGGCTTTATTTTTTCGTGCAATAAATATTTATTTAATGGAATGCTATATGCTAGGCACTGGGGAGACAGCTGTAAGCAAGATGCTCATGGACTCAATTCTCGTGGAGCCTGCAGTCTTATGGTGAATGCAGACAAATAAACAGGCAATTGAATATATGTAATAAGATCTATGATAAATAAGTACTGAGTGCTCTGAAAGCACATACGTAGGGTGCCTAACTTTCCAGAAGCAATAAACAGGGACCTAAAAGGGTAGGAATTGTCCTCTAAGCATAGGGAATAGTGTCTGTAAAGGCCCTCGAGATGAGAGAGTATTTTTATTTTAGGGAGTGAGAAGTAAGGTCTGGATTATTAAGGAATTTGAACTTCATTCTGAGAGAAGTAGAGAGTCATTTTAAGTAAGGGGACTAACCTGATCAGATTTGAGTTTTAGAAAAATTACTCTGACTGCTATGTGGAGAATAGATTAAAGTGGGCAAGACTTAAGGCTGGGAGACCAGTTAAGAGGCTTTTGGAATAATCCACATGAGATGTGATTGTGGTTTTTTTTTTTTTTTTTTTAGCTGAGCCATCCTGCTACCTGTTGGCAGCTCAGCAGC